CAAATTAATTATGAACATCTGTTCATAATTAATTTGTTTAACCTCAAAAGTACCGTTTTCAAATAAGTGGATCTGCGCTCAAAAATGCAGCCTAGGTGGAGTAGTCGAACACAGATCCACTGATCCTTCAACACAGAGCATCTTCAGAAGACAAGTTGATGAAGTAAATTTTTAAAATCTGTATTGTTTGATACAAGTGTGTATTGAACCTAAAGCACTGTTTGATACGGGTACATGTATTGTTGCACCCCTACTGGATTTTTGTAAAATTGACTAAGTTATATGCAGTTTTGTGTTGACCATTGTTGATTATCTGCTTTATGATTGATTCCAATTGTTATTCAGTTGTGGATGTGCATCCTAATGATTATTTCCTGAAAGTGTCAACATGTCCTCAGTCGTTTGTGAGATATTTTGCTGACAGACAGAGCTGACACCAAGTAGATAATGGCAACATTTTAACAAATATTGTATAATTTGTGAGTTCTCACAATATCTGTTTGGAATCCGTATCAACTACAACCACAGCAAATGTTTTTAAATGTTTTGAGATTTAAGTTAACTGGCTGTYGCAGCTATCTTGATCCAGTTTGACTCTTTGATCAGTTCCAGAATATACATCTAATTGGCCCAATAGGCAGTACAGGAAAATGCTGATGCAGAGGATATTCTTTGATAAAAGTATGATGCAGTACTGCTGCTAAGTGTGGGAATAGAAAACAAAACAGAATAAGGCAGGTTTCATTTATGATCTCAGTTAAAGTCTGGTTTTCAGTGTTCTACCTTCATAAAAATACTGATTTTAAGTTTTTGTTAATTCCGAGAACTAAGTAAAATGGTCTTCAGATGGCTGTAAAATGGTATTCTGTTTCAAACTAATTATATTAACTTGTAATTAGACAACCTGATTTCTAAAGATTAAAATATACATCAAAGACAAATGTATTTAATTTGGGATGACTATGTAGCTGTGAGACCTGAAATTTAGCTTAGGGRGCCAAATTGGCGAGGGTGGTTCATGAGATACATTATTGTCCTCTTTTTGCATTTTAGCATCGAGATAAACTCAAACTTACGCAACTAATTTTGGTTACACAGTAATTAGAGCCGCAGAGCATGCTATGTGTTGAAGTTTCCATGTATTTTTTATCACAAGTAGTGTTTAATTTAAAGTCTTTAATGATGGTTTTCTCACAAGATTTCTTCAAAAAGGGAAAACTTTTATCTCCAGAGAGGCATCACTTAATTTGAAGAGGGTCTGGTTGGGCGTATTCATATTTAAGGAACCACATTAGGCCTTTTATTAAGCAAGTATGTGACTAAATGAAGTTTTGGTTTCTGAGAAAGACCTTTCCAAGAAAGCTTCTTTTACTTTCGCTTCATCTTTTAATCTCTGGTTTTCTACATAAGAACTTGACACTGAAATAAAGTAAAATTTTCAGTTTGTAAAAAACAAGATGTTGTGCATACATAAAGGCAGCCAAACAGTAGCTAAATCCTAAAAGGTACATCAACGCCAGCTAAATGCTGAAGGTAGCCAAACAGTAGCTAAATGCTAAAAGTTACATCAACCACAGCTAAATGCTAAAGTAGCCAAACGGTAGCTAAACCCTAAAAGGTACATCAAACCCAACTAAATGCTAAAGGTAGCCAAACACTAGCTAAATCCTAAAAGGTACATCATCAACCACAGCTAAATCCTAAAGGTAGCCAAACAGTAGCTAAATGCTAAAAGGTACATCAACCACAGCTAAATGCTAAAGGTAGCCAAACAGTAGCTAAACCCTAAAAGGTACATCAAACCCAACTAAATGCTAAAGGTAGCCAAACACTAGCTAAATCCTAAAAGGTACATCATCAACCACAGCTAAATCCTAAAGGTAGCCAAACAGTAGCTAAATGCTAAAAAGTACATCAACCACAGCTAAATGCTAAAGGTAGCCAAACAGTAGCTAAACCCTAAAAGGTACATCAACCACAGCTAAATCCTAAAAGGTAGCCAAACACTAGCTAAATCCTAAAAGGTACATCATCAACCACAACTAAATCCTAAAGGTAGCCAAACAGTAGCTAAATGCTAAAAGGTACATCAACCACAGCCAAATGCTAAAGGTAGCCAAACAGTAGCTAAACCCTGAAAGGTACATCAACCACAGCTAAATCCTAAAAGGTAGCCAAACAGCAACTAAATGCTAAACGCTTCATCAACCACAGCTAAATCCTAAAAGGTACATCATCAACCACAACTAAATCCTAAAGGTAGCCAAACAGTAGCTAAACCCTAAAAGGTACATCAACCACAGCTAAATCCTAAAAGGTAGCCAAACAGCAACTAAATGCTAAACGCTTCATCAACCACAGCTAAATCCTAAAAGGTACATCATCAACCACAACTAAATCCTAAAGGTAGCCAAACAGTAGCTAAACCCTAAAAGGTACATCAAACCCAACTAAATGCTAAAGGTAGCCAAACACTAGCTAAATCCTAAAAGGTACATCAACCACAGCTAAATCCTAAAAGGTACATCATCAACCACAGCTAAATCCTAAAGGTAGCCAAACAGTAGCTAAATCCTAAAAGGTTC